ATGGGAAAACAGGTTCAAAGAGCAAAGTACCTACCTGTTTAAGGACATTTTTAGGCAGGTGTCAAATGGACACAGAGGCAAACTTGAAGGGGCTTCCACTGGCCTGGCCACTTTGGGTCAAAATGAGCAGCAAAACAAATAATAATAGTGACAGATGGTACACACTGAGCAAAGTAGGAACCTTTGAGTCTTTCTGATATAAATAAATATATAAATGAATACACAGGTAGATGGATAGACAAGAGAAGGGAAAAGTCTACCTACAGTCCCGTTTTAATTTAAAAATCCAGAAGGAATTACAAAAGCAACATATGACAATTCTCATATAAGTAATAAATGTACCAAATCCCACGTCAGTCACCGAACCCCAGGGTACCAACCCTAGCCACGTAAACCTGGGGAAAACAGACAAGCTTGACTTGGTTCCTAATATAGACCAGGAACTCCAGGGATGGACAAGACCCACACAACTACCTCAAGTATTCCTCACAATAAGCACTCCCGGTTGCATACACACACACACACACATATTCTCTCTCCCTCTCCCTGTCCCTCCACTCCAGACCCTCTGCCATCGCCCCTGACTGTGAATGGAAAGCCCCTAGAGGACACTCCTGGAGCAGGACACCACGCTCACTAGGCCCGGACAGAACCATGGCTGCTCATCTCTCTCCCCTAACGAGACAACGGGGCACCGAGTCTCAAAGCGGGAAAGAAGCGACTTGGCTCTAGGGACTCTTAGTGCCCCTACATCCAGGCAAGAGCATCCACCCCTCCGCTGAGCCCCAAACACCTGAAGACCGGAACCTGCCTTCCTACCGAGATATGTCAGTCTCTATTGAAAAGTCGTCACTGTCGACTTCCTGACGTCAGGTTTCTATGGCAACCGCGGAAGCTGGCTGTTCTGGGCACCGGAAATGCCTCTGCACACCCTTGACCCTCCCTTCCTCACTCGCCTTTTCACTGAAAGCTGGACATCTGTAACCTGCAGACTGCCATATGACCCACCTACTGCCATCACGCTCATTCCGGGATGCTAGTGACTCTATATATGACAGAGTATAACTTGTTTGTCAGGGTTTCAGACACTGCAAATCTTTATGGGAGCAGCCAACTTCCTGTGGAGAGGCTGGTGGGTTCCAACTCTGGACCTAGCTACCTTGCAGTTTCGAGCCTGATGCTCAACCCACAGAGCCACCAGGACTCATTTTCCACCTGACAGTACATTCCCAATACAGCAACTAGACTGGGACCCAGGCGATTGGCTGAACTCTGCTCAGTTTGGTGGAAGAAAGCATGTCCAAGTTGATTCTGACTCCTAGGAGCTTATGTTGTGAAGTGCCTTCTAGTCGATTCCGACCCATAGCAACCCTGTATAGGGTTTCCAAGGAGCAGCCGGTGAGCTTGAACCGCCAACCTTGCAGTTCAAACAACTTTGCAGTCTGATGCATTAACCCACAGCACCATACCAGGACTCCTAGGACAGAGTAAAACTGCCCTACAGGGTTTCTAAGAGTAAATCTTTATAAAAAGCCAACTGCCCCATTTTTATTCCGCAGATCAGCTGATTGATTTGAACGCCACCTTTTGGTTTCACTACTCTGCCATGAGGGGAATATTATCCTTAGACAGCGGCAGCGAGCTGTTCCAGAATTCTTGCAGGTAAGCTAGCCTTCTAAAGGTGAACATGTTAAAATCAGACACCATGTAAAGCAGTGTCATGGATTGAATTGTGTCTCCCAAAAAAATATGTGTCAGTTGGTCTGGACCATGATTCGCAGTGGCTTGGCAGACATATGATGCCCATGATGTGCTAAACCAGTAAGTGGATTGAGGGTAGGATATTGATGTTAAGTGCCATCAAGTTGATTTTGACACATAGTGATCCTGTATCAGGTTTCCGAGGAGCAGCTGGTGGGTGTGAACTGCCAACCTTGTGATTAGCAGTCTAGTGCTTATCCTACAGTGCCATACCACCCTTAATCCCACCATGGCTCTAATCTGATATATGGGGAAATCCCAAGGGTGTAGTATGCAACACCTTTTATCTTACAAGAGATGTGAGCAGAGAAAGAGGGACCCACTACCATCAAGAAAACAGAGCCAGGAGTGGAATGCATCCTTCAGATATGAGTTCCTTGCACAGTGAAGCTCCTTGATCTAGGGAATGACGGATCCAGGGAACGATGGAGATCTCCAAGGAAAGCTGGGCCTACAGAGCAAGTACTCTGAATTCGGACTTGTAGCCTTCTAAACCATGAGAGAATAAATTTGTTAAAGACATCCACTTGTTGTATTTCTGTTATAGCAGCACTGGATAACTAAGACACTATATGTGGCAGAAAACTAAGAGACCATCTACAATCACGTGACTGAATGGCCTGGTGTGGTGCTGTGGGTTAATGCGCTAGACTGCAAAGCTGTTCAAGCTCACCAGCTGCTCCTCGGAAACCCTATACAGGGTCACTATAGGTCGGAACCGACTCGACGACACTTAGCAACAACAACAACATATAAATGCCATTTAGGAGTCCTGGTGTGGAGCTGTAGGTTAATGCGCTGGAACGGAAGGTTGGCTTGAACCACAAGGTCGGTGGTTCAAGTTCACCAGCTGTTCCTCGGAAACCCTATACAGGGTCACTATAGGTCAAAACCGACTTGACGGCACTTAATAACAACAATAAATGTCATTTAAGGAATCTCAAGAGTTATTTTAGAGACGCAGGCCTAGGAATCAGTAATTTAGTAAGCAAAAACCTAGTCAACTGAGCTATACAAAGGTTTGTCTAATTGCTCCATTAATGATTCTACTTTATGCCCAGAAAATACCTTGACATAATATTATGGTGAGAGGAGGAAGCTTGGTGTTTGAGCATGTGTGTATGCACCATTCTGTTTAAATGGGAAATGTGCGACCATGATAACTACATACACTGCTGGAAGATGACAAATTGGTACACCCTGTTTGCAGAGCCATTTGAGCCCTAAGCCCCAGGACCTTTGCACATATCACTCCCGTTGGACTCTGGAAAGCTCTCCCATCCTAGCTCTCTCTGGCTCACGCTTGAGGTTGCTATTTAAATGTAAATTTTCAGCGAGGATTTGTGCTCCCACTAACACAACCACCGTCCAAATTAGATTCCCAGTACTATTCTCTCATAGTATGCCAATCTGCTCCATGAAGGTCACTTGAGGAAATGTAATTAAAGTGCATATATAGAACGGTGCCTGGGGCATAGTGGGTACTCAGACCAGGTACCCTGTTGGCCTGGCTCATTTTTCTAAATGAAAGGTAATATTCTTTCAGTTTTGCTTTGTTCTGATTTTTTTTTTTTTTTTTAATCTGGCAATTTAAATTCACGTTCATATGACCTCATTGCGTGGGTCTACGTTCTTTCAATGGAGTTTAAGAGCAACATCGTCAAGATCCCTCATCTGGGCATGCCCAGTCCATTTAAAAAAAAAAAAAAAAAGCCGCTGTGGTTTTTATTAAAGTTCTTTCTTTGACTAACTTCTCAACAAGAGAAAAAGAACAAAAGGACTCAGCGAGGTGCAGGGGTACGGGTTCAAAGAGAGTGATGGGCAGCAGGCAGGCCGGTAGGCGGGGCGGGAGCGGTGCGGAACTACTGGTGACGTATGGCGCTCACGTGATCGGCTGGCGCCGACGTGGGCTCCAGGTCCCGCGCCCAGCGGTCCAGACCCGGTACCTTCTGCTCGGCCCTTGGGCTTCTTACTCTTGCTCCAGTTCCCTCAGGTCAGTGTCAGGGCCCTCCTGCTGACTGCGGAACATTGGAATGGAGGGGAAGGGGAAACGGGTTAGAAATGGGGTTCAGTTCCTGGGAAGCTGGCCTGAGAGTAAAGAGAGATGGCGCTGGGAAGCTGGCTAAGGCTGCCTTCGGGACAGCAAAAGCCAGTGGGGGCAGGGTAGACACCTCAAATATTGGGGGCTGCTTCCACTGCACCCCCTCCTCTCTGCCCTACGTCCATTTTGGAGCTGTAAATTGTACACGGGGCACCCCAGCAGTGCGACAGTGGGAATAGCCCCCCTTTACGATTCTGGGCGGAGGGGAAAACGTTGACCTCAAGGGTAGGCAGGCGGGTTACTTCCTTTAGGGGAGAATTTAGACCTTAGAGATCAAAATGAGTTTGGAAATCGGCCAGAAAAATGGCGTCTGGGGAGCGAAGGATGTGGAAAAGGGAATGACTGATTAAGGAAGCCAAGCCGGGCTTCTGGAAAGGGCCCTTGTCACTGTGAGTTCTTCGACCTCCCTGCCTGTCTCCTATCTGTCTGCAGGTCTGCGCGTCTGTGGCTCCCAGCACTCTTCGAGAATAGAAAGAGAAGACTGTTCAGAAGCCCTGCAGGTCTGGGCTGGGGGAGGCAGCACCGGACGTGGACCTGGGCTGAGGGGCGGGGGGAGGGTAAGGGTTGAGCAGAATTTGTGGACCTTCTACCCTGGGAGCCCTGGTGTGGCGCTGCAGGATAATGCGCTCTACCATAAATTGGTGGTTCAGACCCACCAGTCGCTTCTCAGAAACCCTATACAGGGTTGCTATGGGTAGGAACTGACTCGACGGCACTTAACAACTACTACCCCGGGAGTAGCGTAGTGGTTACGAATCGAATCGGACTGCGAACCTTAAGGTCAGCAGTTCAAAACTACCAGCTGTTCCGCGGGAGAAAGATGAGGCGTTCTGCTCCCGTAAAGATTTATAGCCTCGGAAACCCTGTACAGGGTCGCTATGAGTCGGTTCTGACTCCACGGCACCCAGCCACCACCACCACACCACCCTGGGAGTAGAAGTGGTGACAGGGCCTGCCTGGGAAAGGGTTGGCTTGTGGGGAGGTACTAGGGAGGAATGGAGAGAGTTTTAAGGAGCTGGCAGGGTAGAGGAATCCTGATGAGGGGTGGGTGAGATGCTTCACTCCCAAATCCTCAAGTCTCCTTGTCTCTTCTCATCTCACCCCCACCCTTCTAGGACTGGAGAAGAAGAATCTCAACATGGAAAAATTCGACAATGAAAATGAAGGAAAGCCTGAAAACCAAGAAAAAGTGGAAAACGAAGAACAGCCACAGATTCAGGGGAACCCTGACGTAGCTGATACTCAGGAAGACAAGCAAACGTTAGGAAATGAGGGAATGACAGAAACTAAGGAGAAAGCAGATGAGGAAATGCTAAAGGATAAGGGGAAACCAGAGGGTGAGGGGAAGCCAAAAGAAGGAAAACCAGTGAGTGAAACAAGGGCTGCAGGAAAGCGCCCAGCCCAGGATAACATACCCAGGAAAGCAAAAAGAAAAACTAACAAGGGGCTGGCTGAGTACCTGAAGGAGTATAAGGAGGCCATACATGATATGCATTTGAGCAATGAGGAGATGATAAGAGAATTCGATGAGATGGCTAGGGTGGAGGATGAGGTGAAAAAATCCAAACAGAAATTGGGGGGATTTATGTGGATGCAAAGAAGTTTACAGAATCCCTTCCACCCTAGGGGCCCAAGGGAACTTAGGGGTGGCTGCAGGGCCCAACAAAGAGGCTTTGAAGACATTCCTTATGTGTAGTGCCTTTGAGCTCTGCTTATATTTTGACTGATTAGAACAATATCAACCCTGCTTTCTTATTTCTTGCTTTTCCCTGGCAGACATTTGGCCAGGCTCTGTGCTTTAACCTTATGCTGATACTTGGCTTTAGGCATCCCTCTAGGTACCAATAGCCTTTTGACCCAACTACAGCCTCTGTGTTTCAGTAGAGAATTTTCACCCAATGCATGGAAAAAAAATGTTTATGGTGCATTGTAAAATTAAAATCGTTTGCAGAACCATATATACAGCATCAGTCCTTTTTTCAAAACTATGGAATATTTACCTAGTCCTGGTGTGGCATTGGACTGCAAGGTCAGCAGTTTAAACTCACCAGCAACTCCTATACAGGGTTGCTAAGAGTTGGAACTGATTTGACAGCACAGAAAACATTGACAGCTGTGTCTACTGAAAGATTAACAGTTGTTATCTGTGGGTGATTTTTTGTCCTTTCTGTTTTGTTCATCTGTCCATTTTTTGTTTTCTTAAAACATTTTTGTTAGCAAGAATAGGTTGAAAATATGAAACCAACACAAAATAAGCAATCCGAACAACTGTTCAATTAGAATTCGTGTCAGAACTACCTGGAGGAATCTGCCTGACAGTTATTACCAATCCATTGCTTTAAAGATTAATTCTGTCATCTGAGAAATGAGGATAATACTTGTCTCCCAAGGCTGCCAAGTGGGTCAGGTGAGGTACTGAGTGTGTGAGGTGTGTTGGGATGGCTCCTACTATCTCCCTTGTATTAGCGGAACCAGGACCCCAACAGGCACTGGGGGAGGGCTGAATGAGACCTCACCTCGTGTCCAGGAATAAGATAGCTGAGAAGTGGGTGCCATATCTGCTAGATCCTGTTGTGTGCCATTGAGTTGATAACGACTAATGCGACCCTTCACCCTCTATATCAGTCATGCATCTTCCTGAGGGTTTTGCTAATGAGCTAGAGCTGATGATACACCACCTTGTGTATCCTCTCTACCTACAATAAGGATTAACCCAGCTGCACAGTATCCAATTGTGACTTGAGTCTTGATATTTTACAAAATATCCCTTTGAATACTTTTTGTTGGTTTGTGTGTGTATGTATTTTTGCATACGGCCATCTCTCCAGCAGATTCAGATACTGGGGAGTAAGCCACGATAAAAACCTGAGTGAGCAGAGACTTGTTCCCACCTGTTAATTTCTTGTCTGCTAACAGTGTTCTTAGTAGGGGTTGTGTCCCAGGAATTTCCTGTTAGGCCATTCCTTAACATTTCAACAGATCCATTTTCCCCCCAGCCTTTAATTTGCTTACAGTATGTGTGTGTGTTTTAATAAACTTATTGTAGAAAAATTTTACATTGACAAAATTATTGCAAGGATGGTACAGAGATTACTGTAAACACCACATCCAGTATCCTGTATTAACATCTTAGCTTAGTGTGGTCCATTTGTTACAATGAACCAATGTTAATACATCATTAGTAATTAAAATCTATACTTTATTCTTGATGTGGATCTGTAGGATCAGCACCGCACTGCTAACCGAAAGGTCAGCAGTTCAAACCACCAGTCGCTGCTCGGAAACCCTATTTAAGGTTGTTACGAGTTAAAATGACTCGACAGCACTTAACAACAACATACTTTATTCAGATTTCCTCAGTTTTTTCATTTGGTTCTTTTTCTGTTCCAGGATCTTACCCAGAATATCACAGGATTAGCCATCATGTCTCCCTAGGCTTCTGGCTGTGGCGGTTCCTCAGACTTATTTTTGATGACCTTGACACTTCTGAGAAGTATTGGTCAAGCATTTTGTAGCATGTCCCTCAGGTTGTTTTTTCTCATGGTTATGCAAGGGCTATGTAATCATATTTTTGTGAAGAAGCCCACAGAGGTACAGTGTCATTTTCATAATGTCCTATCAAGGGTACATACTATCACTATGATTTAATCATTAATGTTAACCTTGGTCACCTGGCTGAGATAGTGTTTTTCTTTTATTTCTCCTTTTCATACTATACCTTTGATACTGGTTTATAATCCAATAAATACTATTTTACATATTGTGTTGCTCAAATAGTCCCAGCTGTTGTTATGTGCCGTGGAGTCGATTCTGACTCCTAGCCACTCTGTACAGGGTTTCCGAGGCTATAAATCTTTACGGGAGCAGAAAGCCACCTTGCTCCTGCGGAACAGCTGGTAGTTTCGAACTGCTGACTGTGAGGCAGCCCAATTCGTAAACACTACGCTACCAGAGCTGCTCCTAGTCCCAGGTGTTGTTGTTAAGTGCTGTCGAGTTGGTTCTGACCCATAGCGACCCTGAACAGGGTTTCCAAGGCTGTAAATCTTTACGGAAGCAGAACGCCTCATCTTTCTCCCACGGAGCAGCTGATAGTTTCGAACTGTTGACCTTGTGGTTCGCAGTCTGATTCGTAACCACTACGCTACCAGAGCTATTCTTCCAGTTGGCTCCTGTATCCCATTTACATATCGTGTGTGTGTGTGTGTGTGTGTGTGTGTGTGTGTGTGTTTCTGATTCTCATTGTGTATATTTCCTATCCTAACCCTAGAATCACCCATTTCTACAAGGAGCTCCGGTACCATTTATTGAAGAATGGTATTAAAAACCAGGACTTTGGTGCAAGTTGTACTTGTTGCTACTGGGATGTCTTTGTTATGGACCCTCACAGCTAGCAGCAGGGAGATGTGTGTATGTTGTTGTTAGGTGCCATCAAGTTGGTTCCCAACCATAACAACCCTATGTACAACAGAACTAAACTAAACACTGTTTTCAAAGCGAAATCTTTGCACTTTAGAACTATTACAGAAATCCGCAGCAGATTTACCCAATGCAATATGTCATTTGATTTCTTGACTGCTGCTTCCAAGGTCAGTGTCTCTCGATCCAAGTAAAATGAAATCATTGCCAACTACAATATTTTCTGTATTTATCATGATACCGATTTATGAGGATTTTTGTTCTTTATGATGAGGTGCAATCCATAGTAAAGGCTTTAATCTTTGATTTTCTTCAGTAAATGCTTTAGGTCTTCACTTTCAGCAAGCAAGGTGGTATCATGTGCAGGTCACAGGTTGTTAATGAGTTTTCCTCCAATCCTAATGTTGCGTTCTTCATATAGTCCAACGTCTGAGATTATTGCTCAGCATACAAATTGAATAAGTATGGTGAAAGGATACAATCCTGGCACACACCTTTTCCTGATTTTAAACCATGCAGTGGCCCCTTGTTCTGCTTGCACAATTGCCTCTTGGTCTATATACAGATTCCGCACTAGCACAATGAAGTGTTCTGGAATTCCCATTCTTTAGGATGTTCTCCTTAATTTGTTATGATCCACACAGACAAATACCTTTGCATAATCAATAAAACATTGGTCTTGGTTTATAGGCCCTCAGCTAACAGCAAGGAGATACGTGTGTGTGCATATATAGCTATAAATATTTATATATGTAATCATCTGTATATAAAGCTAAACATGAGTTCATATTGTCTTCAAGTGTACTGTATTAATGCATGGATCTTTCTAGCCCCCTCCTCTTATCTTTTACACAACCTATTTTCTACCATCTGCCATACATTTGGAGTCCTGATGTGGCGCTGTGGGTTAATGTGCTGGACTGTAAAGCTAGTTGGTGGTTCAAACTCAACCAGCTGCTCCTCAGAAACCCTATACAGGGTTGCTATGGGTCGGAACCGACTTGGCACTGAACAACAACAAGCCAAACATTTACATATTTAATTGTTCAGTTACAGCATACATGCATAATGGTTTCAAAATTGTTAATCCATATTTTCATGGACTATAACTTTACCAGCTACAGTATGTGCTTTTGCCTTTAGTCTTACAGTGGGTTTATTATTATTACATCTGCAATATATTTAGATTCATCACACGCTACATTTTTTGGAGCACTGTTTTAAGTGGTGTAGTGCTGTAGATTAATGAGCTGAATTGCAAAGTTGGTTTGAACCACAAGGTTGGTAGTTCAAGCTTAACCAGTTGCTCCTCAGAAACCCTATACAGGGTTGCTATGGGTTGAAACCAACTCGATGGCACTTAGCAACAACAACATTGTAAATGGTATTACTTATTTAAAATTTCATATTCTAATAGTTCATTGCTGGCATATAGGAAAGCAGTTGACTTTTATATATTAACCTTTTATAACCTTGTACTTGCTTATTAGTTGCAGGAGTTTGTCCGTTCTTTAGGACTCTCTATAGGGACAATCATGTCACCTATGACTAGAGACAGTTTTATTTACTCCTTTCCAATTTGTATACATTTTATTTCCTTATTACACTAGCTAGAACTTCCAGTACGATGTTGAATAGGAATAGCGAGATAGTGAATCCCTTGCCTTGTTTCTCATTTTAGAGTAAAAGCATCTACTTTCTCATCGTTAAGTATGGTGTTAGCTGTAGACATTTTGTATATGTTCTTTATCAAATTGAAAAAGTCCCCCCTTGAAACCTAGTATGTTGAGAGCTTTTATCATGAGTAGGAGATGGATTTTGTCAAATTCTTTTTCTGTATTGAGTGATCTGACTATATGATTTTTATTGATTTTTGACCAGTAAATGAGTCTTTTCTATCTAGAATAAATTCTACTTTGTTGTGGTGTGTGATTATTTTTATATATTATTGGATATAATGTGCTAAATTTTAAGGATTTTTATGTCTAATCACAAGTGATATTGGGCTATAGTTTTCCTTTTTTGTAATGTTTTGGAATTAGGGTAATGCTGACCTCATAGAATGAATCAGGAAGTATTCCCTTAGCTTCCATTTTATGGAGGAAATTGTGAAACATTAGTATAATTTCTCCCATAAATGTTTGGTAGAATTCACTGGTGAACCCTTCTGGCCCTGTTGATTTAAATTTTGGGAAGGTCATGAATTATTAATTCAATTTCTTTAAATAGATATAAGGCTGTTCCAGTGAGTTTTCTACTTTGTATCTCTAATAAAGCAAC